GGGCCACACATAATTCTGGCATCAAGGGAAAATAGATTGCTCTCTCAAGCAATAGCATTAGAGTTGTGATTAGTTTTTCATTTTAAAGCAACTTTAATTACAGACATATTCCATACTCAGCTTCACTCTCTCTCCGGCTCACTGCAGAAGAGCTGCGCGGCCACCTGCACTACAAAGAGTTAGAGTGGTAAAACTGTGCGAACTGCATCAGTTTGATAAACGTCTGTAACGCGCGTTAAGCACTGCAAAGATGGATCAGATGAGGATCTCAGATATGTAAGGTAGAGAAAAATCCCTTCTCAGTAACGCAAGATACGTCAATAATTACTGCCAATCTCATGCAAGTATCAATTTCGAAAAACATTGCCGCTGCAAAGTAATATGGACAACACCTCCCTGCCTTGCCTGTCTAATGATAAGTAAACTTTTCACTCATTTATCCAAGGATAGATCATGCAGCTTACAGTTACAACCAAGTTAATGTTAGGCTAGCTTCCGTTTGGCCGAGTTCATAGGACTGAAGAATAACTTGGGTGGGTTTTTGAACTCCGGTGTAACCTAACTGGCATTATCCTTGAGGTCAGGGTAAGTGGTGATGGTGTCCTATATGTCCATTTTTTCAATTGCATGGTTCAAGCTTCCCAGGCTACTTATGTTCCAAAAGACACAATTGATCATGCAAACATGACCCTAAATGAATAACTACTGTTTAAAACATATCTTGTTCAAAAGAGAAGCATTTACAGGAAATATATTTTGGGTGCGATGAGTTGTGGGCTATTTGGTTTTCATAATATTTTCAAGTAATAAAATAAAAGAATATATTGGTGGTAATAAGAATAGACAATTGAGAGTATGATGTTTAAAGTATATATTGATATATTTTTTTATATTTATATATATATATTATTTTATTTATATATATTTATTTATATATATATATATATATATATATATATATATGCATGCATAAGATCCACAGTGAACATGTTGATTCATAATATGCCAAAACAACCATTCTGAAAGATTAGAGGAAATTCCAAGCGCTTTTCGTGACTACTCAAATTACAAGGAACTATGAAAGTGAAGCATCCAAGGAAGATATATAAGGGGTCCGGCCAGCACTCACTATCAGATCCACCAAACGGTTTAAACACGTGACACGCGGCGAGCCAACTTGGATAAGGTCCTTTGCACAAACTCACCCCCCAAGCTATTCTACCCAAGAAAATTTAAAAATTATTTGTCCAGTGTATTATTAAATTTCTTTTTCCTAAATTTATTAATTATTAAATGGATCTAATTTATATAACCCACCGGAACTATTCCATCTTATTTTTTCAACAACTAGCATTTTCTGAAAACAAGCTTCCAATTATCATCTGACGTACCATGGACTTGCTTGATATACCTTTCTAACCTTTTTGAAAACTCAATAGGGAAAACGGTAAAAATCCTCTTAATACTAAACGCCTCCCGAGCATTGGAATATTGTCCAGTTTCTTAATGCTATATTTATGTTGTTTTAATTTAGTTCGAGATTTTTACCAGTTTGACCGTAATAAAATTTATTCGCAAATTTTTACAAGGAATCTTATAGAACATCATCAGCCCATTTCGGGGGGAAATTCTTTATCACAAGTTTTTTTACTGTATCAAGATTTTGAATACAACTTTATATTAAAAGTCTTAAGTAGAGAAGGATATCAACCAAGTTTTCATGGTAAGGGAGAACCACATTATTTTGAGGTCTGATAATTTGACACATGCAACTTGGGTATCTTTACTGAGGAAAACGTTTCGCACACAGGGCTCATCAGTCCATACAAGGAGAATCTTGAGAAACAGAGGAGAATGAGGTAATCAGTCTCAACCTTGCGTCGAGTGTCAGTCCATCAATCTTGGAATGATGGGGACTGACCAAATCGATCAGGTTGGAGGGACCTGATTCCTCATTCTCTCCTGTTCTTCAAGATTCTCCTTTGTATGGGACTGATGAAGCCACTGTGTGGCGAAACGTTCCTCAATAAAGATACCAAGAGTGCACCTGTGTCTATTTATCAACATGTCGGTTCTCTGAAACATTCATCTACAAACATATTTTTAGTTGAATAAGGCTGTTGCCCCTTTTTGGATTATAAAAGTGTTTCTAGCAAATTTAAAGATTTATCAATTAATTTCTTGGGTATTTTAAATCATTACTATTTCATAAATTTTGGATATTTCCTCATTAGAACTAGGACTTAACAAATTCGTAAAGCTCTCAAAAACATTGATGAGAAAAAACAGACAGTTTGACTCTATCTTGATGCGAGGAATAATAGTGGACATAGGAACGTTATTTGTGGTTCTGTTAAATTTCTAATATTCTGAAATTCTTTATTACCCCTTATATAATTAAAACATATCCTAGAAAAGGCAAAGAGTTATTTTCTTTCATCATGTCTCGCTCGAGAGCTTTAGAATTTGTAGTCCTGACGTTCATAGATTGAGAAAATATCCAAATTTATGAAATAGGGAATGATTTTTAAAATTACCAAGAAATGTAAAATTGAATAAATCTTTTTAAAGTTGCTAGAAACACTTTTTATAATCCAAAAAGGGGCAACGCCTTATTCAACTAATAATATGTTGGTTCTCACCTTACCATGAAAACTTTGGTTGATATGCTCTTCTCTTCTTAAGTCTTTTAATATTAAAGTTTGTATTCAAAATCTTGATAACAGTAAAAAACTCTTTGATAATGAATTCCCCCGAAATGCTGTTGGATGTGTCTATAGATCCTTGTAAAATTTTGCGATAAAAGTTTATTACGTCAAACTGGTTTAAAAATCTCGAACTACGATTAAACACATAAATATAGCAATTAGGAATCTGGACAAGATTCCAATGCTCTATTTATTATGTAAGAGGATTTTAAACCATTCCAATTGATTTTCAAAAAGTTGAGAAAGTAGTAGCAAGCAAGTCCTTGGTCGAACGGAATATATTGAATCTTGTCTTTATAAAAAGCAGTTTTTTGACAATAATATGAATTTTCCTTTGGTTTATATAAATTAGATCCATTTATAATTATATAGTATTTGGAAGAATTTAATAATACACTGGACAAATAATTTTTAAATTTTCTTGGGTTAGAATAGCTTGGGAGGTGGTTGTGCAAAGGACCTATCCAAGTTGGCTCGCGCGCCGTCAAAGTGTTAAACGTTTTGTGTGGGAATCTGTAGTGAGGTGATGGCCGGAACCCCTATATAGCCTTCCTTGGATGCCTTCACTATTCATGTCCTTGATAATGTGAGTAGTCACGAAAGCGTTGGGAATTTCTGTTCTAATTTTTTAAGAGTGGTTGTTTTGCATATATATATATATATAATATATATATATATATATATATAATAGATATATATATTTATATATATATATGATATATATATTATATATATATATCTATATATATATGTGTGTGTTGCAATAAGATCTCAGTACAAACAGGTGATTTCAGCATATGCCAAAACAACCACTCTGAAAGAATAGAGAAACTCCGTGCGCTTTCGTGATTTCTCACTTATCAAGGAACTATGAACAGTAAAGCATCCAAGGAAAGGTACATAAGGGGTTGGCCCACACTCACTATCAGATCCCACAACGTTAACTTAAAACCTGACGCGCGCCCGGCCCACCCTGGACAGGTCCTCTTGCAAATCCACCAACCAAAACATTATACCAAGAATATATATATTATATATATTTTTTAAATATAAAATTTATATATATTATATAATATATATATATATATACTATATATATATATAATATATATAACATACTATGATATATACTAATATATATTATATTTATATCGTGCCCGAATATGTAAAAACTGGTCAATTAGCAAGAATCATTTAAATTAATCCTTGTTAAAATTTTCTCTTATACGTTTAAAGATATATTTTTTCATTAATGTTGATGTAAAAATTATAATTTTGCACATAAGGAACTTAGAAAACTTACCTAACTTATTATAACATGCTCAATTATTTTAGCCTAACCAACTAATGGTATTTTAGATTTGTTTACAGTTTAATTTATTACTAAACAAATACGTGAAATATATTTTTTTCGTCTAGGATCAGAACGATTTTGGCCGGAAATTATTGCATACACAAATTTCCACTTGTCCTATATGGCAAGATGAGCGTTGCTATTTAAGCCAAGATCGCAAGTTCTGCCTATTCGGCACGACATATATATATAATATATATTATATATAATATATATATATATATATAATATATATATATATATATATATATATATATATATATATATAAAACATTTATGACTCCTGCTGCTTTAGCGCTTCCCAATGAATATAGTTATTATTATTATTAAATATTCGCCGGTATTCTCCCGGCCCGGGCCTTTTCCAAGTGGTGGCCCGGCCTTGGCTCCCTCTCTAGGGAGTGTCTGAGACCTAAGTCTTCCATGGGAGGAGGCACAAGTACCTCCTCATCTTTGGGACCAACTGTCCCCAGGCCTAGCCACAAGCTAGGCCTCTCTGGTCTGCCATCCCCACCCCAAGGGGACTAATGGGAATGACAGTCTTATGAGCTAAAGGCTCGGGCTCAGGCACCTACCCTACCCTAGAAGGGCTGGGCATGGTGTCGATGAATGAATATAGGCAATAGTGTATTAGATCAAGGACTATGTAATTCTTTTTCCTCCATAATACAAATTAAGTATATTATAACTACTTTAAGAGGGTAATTTTGTTTCCAATGACCATATAAATATCTTGAAGATAAATATAATTATTATCTTATAATCTGATGGTGATCAATTATAACTGAAGACTCTGAATACGTCGATATAAGACTGACGGATTTTTAGTTAGAAGTGATGAACCAACACAACGATGTTAATCCATTGGTTCATCAATAAGGTATTGATGGTTCATCACTTTTATATAAAGCCTCGCAAAATGTAAATAAAAGTTAATAGGCTGGTAATTTTTATTTTTTTTTATTGTGATTTCTACATGATTTCTACATATTTGCTACGTAAGTGCTACGTAACTGCTACACGAGTACTACGTAACTGCTACATAAGCTACGTAACTGCTACATAAGTGCTACGTAACTGCTACACGAGTACTACGTAACTGCTACACGAGTACTACGTAACTGCTACATAAGTGCTACGTAACTGCTACACGAGTACTACGTAACTGCTACATAAGTGCTACGTAACTGCTACACGAGTACTACGTAACTGCTACACGAGTACTACGTAACTGCTACATAAGTGCTACGTAACTGCTACACGAGTACTACGTAACTGCTACATAAGTGCTACGTAACTGCTACACGAGTACTACGTAACTGCTACACGAGTACTACGTAACTGCTACACGAGTACTACGTAACTGCTACATAAGTGCTACGTAACTGCTACACGAGTACTACGTAACTGCTACATAAGTGCTACGTAACTGCTACATAAGTGCTACGTAACTGCTACACGAGTACTACGTAACTGCTACACGAGTACTACGTAACTGCTACACGAGTACTACGTAACTGCTACACGAGTACTACGTAACTGCTACACGAGTACTACGTAACTGCTACACAAGTACTACGTAACTGCTACATAAGCTACGTAACTGCTACATAAGCTACGTAACTGCTACATAAGTGCTACGTAACTGCTACATAAGCTACGTAACTGCTACATAAGCTACGTAACTGCTACATAAGTGCTACGTAACTGCTACATAAGCTACGTAACTGCTACATAAGCTACGTAACTGCTACATATGTGCTACGTAACTGCTACATAAGCTACGTAACTGCTACATAAGTGCTACGTAACTGCTACATAAGTGCTACGTAACTGCTACATAAGTGCTACGTAACTGCTACGTAAGTGCTACGCAACTGCTACATAAGCTACGTAACTGCTACGTAAGTGCTACTTCATACATACACATGCTTTAAAATTGGTACTTAATTTTTATGTCGTACATAAGTTTTAATATAAAAATGATCTTGATGTATCCATCATCTGGGCGAGGGGGGGAGAGTCTTGATGCTAGTGAAGGGCTCTTGATTTAAGAAAGTGGAGCTCTCCTCTCTTTTCTCAAACCTGATCATCTTCCTTTACGATGGTGATTCACTGCCCCTACTGATTTAGGTCTTCCATACGAATATACAATCTTTAAAAATATTTCAGATACACGTTATGTACATGATACTGTCATACTGTTGTTCCTAAACCCTAAATTCTGGCTCAGGGGTCCCCAAAGTGGTCAATATTGACACTTAAGGATCTACGGGACTATTAAAGGGGTCGATAAATGATTGGGGGTCAAAAGGGTAAGTCAGTACAACGTTGAAACTGGTTTTAGCCATGCAAATGTATTTGTAACTAAGCAAGGGAACAGACTGGACCTGGAAGAGCCTGGTAACTAACCATTATAACTCAACAATCACCAACTAAACATCAGTGACCTTGTTGACACTCGCCAGATGTTTCCTTCCTGTTAATTATATCAATAGCTTCAGTAAAACGAGGTTTTGTTAAATCTTGTATTTTTCATAATTTATATATCGCCTCTTTTTTGTGAAGTTATTACTATTATTATCTATTATTATTATTATTCGTAGTACTATTTGTTAAAGTACTATTTATTAAATTATTTTATTATAGTAAATGTTTGAGAGTCGATAAACAATGAGAAACTTTATGAAGAAGTTGGTGAAGTGAAAAGTTGGGTCACCTCTCCTCGAGAGCATACTTATACTTTTCCTCTAAACTCGAGAGCATACTTGTACTTTTCCTTTAAACTCGAGAGCATACTTGTACGTTTCCTCTAAACTCGAGAGCATACTTGCACTTTTCCTTTAAACTCGAGAGCATACTTATACTTTTCCTTTAAACTCGAGAGCATACTTGTACTTTTCCTTCAAACTCGAGAGCATACTTATACTTTTCCTTTAAACTCGAGAGCATACTTATATTTTTTCCCTTTAAACTCGAGAGCATACTTATACTTTTCCTTTAAACTCGAGAGCATACTTATACTTTTCCTTTAAACTCGAGAGCATACTTATACTTTTCCTTTAAACTCGAGAGCATACTTATACTTTTCCTTTAAACTCGAGAGCATACTTATACTTTTCCTTTAAACTCGAGAGCATACTTATACTTTTCCTTTAAACTCGAGAGCATACTTGTACTTTTCCTTTAAACTCGAGAGCATACTTGTACTTTTCCTTTAAACTCGAGAGCATACTTATACTTTTCCTCTAAACTCGAGAGCATACTTATACTTTCTCTAAACTTATTAAAAACACGTAGTCAAAGAATGCATAAAATAATATGAAATAAATCAAGTTAACTTTCAAAGTTGTTCTAACTAGTATCCCCTTTGGGGGATACCAGAGAAATAGAACTGCCTTTTGCTTCCTCGGATCAAATCTAATTACCTCGCATTCC